GCGAGGGCTGGCAAATCCGAGGCTGCTAAAACTGTCTTCCCGGGAAAAAAACAAATTCCTGGAATCAAACTCAACGCACTAAATTCGCCGGCCCAACGGGCCAGAGGCGTGCTAAGATCTCCGGTAACTACTTAACATACTTCTAGTTCGCGCGCGCGGGGCGGCCCCTGGGGGGCCCCGGACGAAAAGTACCCCGGCCGATCCCCGGCTGATCCCAGGGCGATCCCCAGGGGGGCCCAATACGCCGCCAAGGAGCCTCAAGACGCTCCCAAGAAGCCCCCAAGACGGCCCCAAGAGGCCCCAAATAGCGCTCCAGGGCCGGCGGAATGAGCGAAGCGATTGAATAATAAAAGGGCTGCTTCACGGAAGAAACAACGGAGCTCCGTTTTAGCAGCCACGGGCTTGCCAGCCGTCGCCCGGCTTCCGACAAATGCCGCAAGACTATGACTGCTCCGTGTGCCATCTGCGTGATCCACGGCGTTGGGTCGAAGAACAAGCACACATTCGAGTGTGCAATTCTTAGGTTCAGAAAGAGGCACAATGACGTGTCGTTGTGACACTCGCCTCGTCCTCTCAACATGACGCAACAAACACGGCCCATCCGGGAGCCTGAGGTTCATGGCCTCACAGGGGTCGGGGCAGTGGTCCCGAGAGCCCCACGCCTGTTCCACTGGAGGAGGCCTCGGCGAAACCCTGATGCGGTCGCTTCCGGAAGCCCTGAGCCCAAACACTGCGCAACTTTTCCTCCCGCCGCTTCCGCCGGCCTACCGCCCGGAGCCAGGCCGCCTCTCCTCCTCCTCCTCCTCCTCCTCCTCCTCCTCCTCCTCCTCCTCCTCCTCCTCCTCCCCCTCCCCCCTCCCCTCTCCCTCCTCCCTCCTCCCTCCCCTCTCCTCCCCTCCTCCTCCTCCTTCCTCTTCCTCCTCCCTCCTCCCTCCTCCTCCTCCTCCTCCCCCCTCCCCCTCTCTCCTCCTCTCCCCTCCCCCTCCCCCTCCCCCTCCTCCTCCTCCTCCTCCTCCGCAATTTGCGTCCGCGGGCCTCCCGCCAGCGACGAGAGGCCACGCCCTCGGGTCCTCGAGCGGGAAGCCCCGTCTGGAGCTTCCCGCGTGGCGGCAGCCCCGTGGAGGCTGCTCGGGGGCAGGTGGGAAGGCAACACTCGCGCTGCATCGCAGTACAGTCGGGGCGTTGACCTAAGGACCCCCAAATAAGGAACGAGGCCCCTGTTTTTCCATAAGTTGACCTTCGATGTCCGATCGAAAACCTGAGGACAACCTGAGGCAAGCTGCGAAACACTTAAGGAACCCGGAGCCCCTCCCCAACGAAGAGGGTTCTTTCTTCAGGGCCCCGACTGAAGTGGGCAGGGGCGGAGGAGCGGGGAGTGGGCAGACAACGGCCCGCGTCCAAGCCTGCCAGCGGCTTATGCAGCTTCCACATCCCCGGGAGCTGCGCGCTGGACGTCAGGTCGGTGGCAAGCCAGGCCAGCAGGTCCTGACGAGGCTCCCCTCGCAGAGGGCTTCCGAGCCCCAAGCAAGGATCCCGCACTCCTCTTCCTTCTGCTCCGCTTCCTTCCTGCGGATGATGATCCTGCCCTCCCCTCTCTCCAGTCCCACATCATGCGGCGAGCAACTTGTATCTCTTGTCCTGCGACGCTTGAACTACAACTTGCTAATCAATGGCTGTCTATATGTTTTTCAACAAACGCTTGCGCGACTGCCGTCTCTTCTGCAGGTGGCCGCCCGAGGAGTAGCAGCAACGTTGCCCGCACAACAACAAACACACAAATCACTGGTCTATGCTGCTGTCGCTCACTTCCACGTACCTCGCACTGCGTGCGTGATATGATCATTCTACGAATGTTGCGTCTGAAGCTGAGTGCTAGTCAGAACCTGCATGTCTTATGTGATGTCTGTGTGAGTGTGCGGGTGTATGCATGTTTGAAATACACACACTCATACCGAGCTCTGCTTTATACCATCTACTGCTCACCGTTGTCATCCTCTTACTTCACTTCTTCGACCTCTCACTTCCTTTCCCCCCAGTCCTGCTTACCCCCCCTCCTCCTCCTCCCCACCTCCCCGCGCCCTGATTCCCTCGTCCTCTCGCTGCCCATCTCGTGCTTCGCCTTGGCACCAAGCCTTCCGTGCATCCGAACGCTCATGCCTCGTGCCCCCAGCCACTCATAGCGATTGGACGAAGCGCGGGTGCAACATGTCTCCCAGGGCGGCTGGAGCACTCATACACACCAGTGCGGCGGCACGCCAGGGGTATGAGCTTCCGAGCCGACCTGGGCCGCGCCTCCCCGACGGCGAAAGCACGGCACTCACACCGACACGAGCAAGCGCTTGCGCCTTGCGCCGCGTCGGGGGGGGGGATGAGGAGGAGGAGGAGGAGGAGGATGAGGAGAAGGAGGAGGAGGAGGAGGAGGAGGAGGAGGAGGAGGAAGAGGACGAGGAGGAGGAGAAGGAGGAGGAGGAGGAGGCGGAGGAGGAGGTAGGAAGAGGACGCGGCGAGGAGGAGGAGAGGAGGAGGAGGAGGAGGAGGAGGAGGAGGAGGAGGAGGAGGGGGAGGAGGAGGAGGAGGAGGAGGAGGAGGAGGAGGGGGAACATGCTGCGAAACTCCTAACGCGCTTCGTTCGCTGGCACGCCCCGCGCCTCCGACCGTGCTTCGTCACCGCGCGCCCTTTGTCTCGTGCAGCCCCCCCCGGGGGTCTCCGGCGGCGATGGCGTTGCCGTCCGCCATTCCAGGGCGCGGAGCGCGGCCATCTCGTGCCTGGAGATGTCGTCCCACATCCTGCGCTCGCTTTGCTGGGGGCCGCGCCCAAGAATACGACGGGAGTGATGCCATGACGTGATTGGCTCGGGGTGCGATCTCCAGGAGTTCCAGAGCACCTGGCGGCCCCCGTCTCTTCAGTTCACGCGGGACAACAGGAAAGCCTCGAAATCTTGGAATGTATCCTGCAACAGGAAAGCCTGGAAGTCTTGGAAAGTACCCTTATCGTGACTTCTTGCTCCTCTGGAAGGAAGGAATCGGCGGCGCGCCGAGGGGGAAGTGAGAGGAGGCAGGCCTTCTCAGAAGGCGGCGGGGCTTCTCAGCCCCCCAGCCTTCCGAGAAGCCCCCTGCGGCTTCGGAGAAGGCACAGAAAGCTTCTCAGAAGGCCAGGGGCCTTCTCAGCCTCCTCCGAATGCCCGCCCTCTCTGCCTTCCACCCTGGCCGCGCCGCCGAAAGAAGGGGTGCAGGCTCGCAAGCCGTCTGGCACAGGAGGTCTGTCCTGTCAGCCGGCGGCCAGGGGCGCCGAAGTGGAGGAGGAGGGAGAAGGAGGAGGCGGAGGAGGAGGAGGAGGAGGAGGAGGAGGAGAAGGAGGAGGGGGAGGGGGAGAAGGAGGAGGAGGAGGGGGAGGAGGAGGCGGAGGAGGAGGAGGAGAGGCAGAGGACGAGGAGGAGGAGGAGGAGGAAGAGGAGGAGGGGAGGCGGAGGAGGAGGCGGTCCGAGGCGGAGGAGGCGGAGGGAAGAGGACGAGGAGGAGGAGGACGAGGAGGAGGAGACGGAAGAGGAGGAGGAGGAGGAGGAGGAGGAGGAGGAGGAGGGAGGCGGAGGAGGAGGGAGGAGGAGGACGAGGAGGAGGGGAGGGGAGGAGGAGGAGGAGGGAGGAGGAAGGAGGGTAGAGTAGGGGAGGACGAGGAGGACAGAAGGAGGCGGAGGAGGAGGCGGCGGCAGGACGAGGAGGCTGAGGAGAAGGAAGAGGGGGAGGATGCGGAGGAACGAGGACGAGGAGGGGGAGGCGGAGGCGGAGGGGAGAGGGACAGGGAGGAGGAGGGAGGAGGATGGAGGAGGAGGGGAGGAGGATGAGGCGGCAAGAGGACGAGGACGAGGATGAGGAGGAGGAGTGAGGCCGAGGAGAGCGGAGGACGGGTAGGGGAGGCGGAGGAAGAGGAGAGGGACGAGGAGAGGCGAGGAGGAGGAGGGGAGGAGAGGAGGCGGCGGAGGCGGAGAGGAGGAGGAGGAGGAGGAGGAGGAGGAGGAGGAGTGGGCGACATCGGCGCGGCCCTCGCTCGACACTGGGGGCGCCGCGCCGGCCCTGGCTTTTTGGGGCTGTCTCGGAGCGCCTTGGTGCGCTCTGCGGGCTCTCCCAGCCCCGTGCTGGCTCCCTGCTGGGCCGTCCTGGAGCTCTCTCGGGCCGTCGCGGTCTTGCGCCGCCCCCCCCCCCCCCGCGCGCACGCCCAGACAGGAGAGGCGCTTCTCCCCGCATTGTTGTGCCTTCTCTTTCCCTTTTCCCGATCTTTGTAAATATATAAATGCGAACGCGCGCATTGACTTACGTATCCAGCTGTTTATGCATTTGTATGCTATGTGTATCATGCATGTGATATACTGTGTACATGTTGTGTATGTATGTATGCATACATGCATGCATATCGGCATATACGATGTACATATATGCATTCATATCTGTATTTGCGCACACATGTATGTATGTATGTATATATGCATGCATGCATGCATGCATGCATGCATGCATGCATGTATGTATGTATGTGTATGCATGTATGGCTGACTGCATGTTTGTATATGTTTACGTATGCATGCATGCAAGCATGTATATATGTTTTCATGCATGTATGTATGCGTACGTGTATGTATCTATGTATGTGTCTGTAGAACTGTATGTGCGCATGCGTATATATGTTTGGCTGTGTTTGTTTGTGCGAGTGTATGTATGTTTGTTTGTATGTATGTATGTATGCATGCATGTTTATATGTGTAAACAAATGTACTAGAACCATCTCGCGCGCTTAGGTTCTAGCTGGTGGAGTGCTGACCGCATCGAGACAACAAGCCGGTCATGAATAATGAGGTCAACATTATTTGTTTCCTCTCGCATCTTCCTCTCTCCTCCTCCTCCGCTATCATCGACCGGTGACCTGACGCGAAGCTTCTTGGGGACCTCTTGACTCCTCCTGGGGGTCTCCTTGGGCGAAGATCTCGGGTTCTCGGCTCACATTCCCGATAGTGGCCTTCGGCCCATCTCGCCACCGTGCCTGGTTTGTAGGTTAGAGGCCTCTTGGAAATTCCTTTGGAATTCGTGGGAGGCTTCCCAGGGGCCTCTTGAAAACAGTTTTGGAGGCCTCTTGGGGGCCGTTTGGGGTGCTTGTGGGGCGTCTTTTTGGACCCTTTGGGGCCTCGTGGGGCCACCGCCACCACCACCACCAACAGCACCACACAACCACCACCACCACAACCACCAGTACCACCACAACCACCACCACAACTCACCATCACCACCACCACCACCACAAAAACCCACCACCACTACCACCACAATCTACCCCACCACCCCCACCACCGCCACAACCACCACCATTACCAGCAGCACAACTCACCGCCACTACCACAAACCACCACAAACCACACCACCACCACCTCCACCACCACCACCACCACAACACACGTCCACAAACCACCGCCACCACCACAACCCACCACCACCACCACCACCACCACAAACCACCACCACACCACCACCACGCCATCACAACCACCACCACCACAACTCACCGTCACCACCACCACCACCACAAAAACCCACCACCACTACCACCATCACCACAATCTACCACACCGCCTCCACCACCACTACCAGCAGCACAACCCCCACCACCACCACAAACCACCACACCACCACCACCGCCGCCACCACACACCACCACCACACCACCTCCACAAACCACCGCCACACCACACCCCCCACCACCACCACAAACCACCACCACACCACCACCAAACCACCACCACCACCACAACCCACCACCACCGCCACCACCACCACAAACCACCACCACACCACCACCAAACAACCACCACCACCAGCACCCACCGCCGCAACCACCACCACCACAACAAACCACCACACCACCACCACCACAACCACCACCACCGCCATCAACACCACTACCACAACCCACCACCACAACCACAACCGTCCTCGTCGACGCTCCCCGCCACCGCCGCCCACCGCCGAAGTCGCCGGCGCCGGCCCAGAAAATGAAATCGTCGTCCCCGACGCCGTCGCCAGCCGCCGCCGACGCAAGCGCAGCGCCGGCCCGAAGAGAGGGGAAGCAGAGGGGGAGGGGGAGGGGTTCGACCCCCCCCTCTCCGTCACGGGAGGGGGGCGGGGGGGGTTTCGACCCCCCCGCACCCCTCCATCCAAAAGGGGGGGGGGTTCGAACCCCCACCCCCCCTCCATCCAGGTGGGGGGGTCCGGTTCCAACCCACCCCCCCTCAAAGCGACCACAAAACGCGTTTTTTTTCGTATGTACATACATACATACATACATACACACATATATATATATATATATATATACACATGCACCTAGGTCCTTTGAGTTCCGCACGCAAGCGGAATGCGTGCGTGCGTACATGCGCGCGTGCATGTATACACGCGCGCGCATGCACGTTCCGTATTTATGTCTAGGCGCGTACAATGTACTTACATTGTTGTATGTGTGTATACAGTGTACATATGTACATCTACATTTATGCGTATACGGGTATGAACATGCATATGCAACTCGTGCGTGCTTTGCTGGTGCACGCCCGTACATTTTTATATATATATATATATATGTATATGTGCATGTGTATATAACTATGGGTTCGCATACACATGCGTATCTCAGGCGGTAGTGGCCTGACCAGTTGCTCAGGGCATTTCGCATCTGAAAGGTGCGAGGGTCTCAAGCGAAAATGGCCAGATTACCATGGGACAGTGCATCGCCGAAGTCAATGTGCGAAGATGTCTCAAGCGAAAATGGCCTGAACACTTCCGCTCAGGACACACTGGAACTGAGAGTTGCGAGGATGTCTCAAGCGAAACCGGCCTGAACTCGGGAGCGGCCAAGAGGGGGGTGTCCAAGAGGGGGGGGTGCAAATCATGACCGGCGGCATGTGCGCGGCCCAGCGGGGGGGCCAGGGACGTAAAGAAATAAGAAGAGGCGCCATGAAATCTGGGGAAATATCATGGCCCACGCCATGATATCCACCCCCCCCTAGTCATCACCCCCCTCTTTTCCGCCCCCGATGAACACCTCAGCTCAGGACAGACCGGAACTCAGTGACGCGAGGATGTCTCGAGCGAAAGTGGCGGAATACCATGGGGCAGGGCATCTCGGAGCCCAGAGCTGCGAGAACGTTTCTAGCGAAAGTGGCCCGAACACATCAGCTTAAGGAGCCCTGGAACGTAGAGTTGCGAGAAAGTCTCAAAGCGGAAGTGGCTGGACCACCTTGGGGCGGGGCTTCTCCGAGGTCAGAGTTCGGAGGAGGTCTCAGGCCACAGTGGTCTGATTTCCTCAGCTCAGGGCACCTCGGAACCGAAAATTGCGAGGATGGCTCTGGCGAAAGTGACCGGAACACTGCAATGTGAGGCCATGCGTCATAATTCCAAGAATTGCCAATCCAAGGGAATGCGCGCGTAGGAGTCGATTGCCTCTCAGGTGCTTCTGGGACC